ATTTCGAATGTATCCTCGAAACTTGTAAACTATATAGTCTTCTTAAGTGCGAAGAGAGAAGGCCCTTTTCGATAGCGACGATTTAAAGCCATGTCACACACAGTGCTCACGTGTACATTTTTGCATCAGTTCCCTTGCATCATTTATTCTGGACCACGCCACGAGTCGGACAATCTAGCGGAGGACGTCAGAGCATACTCCTTGGAAGGAGTTATTCTTTGGATTGGACCTTGTGAACCCCCTCCGAATTTCACATTTCCCTAAATCAGGAATTGTAATGAAAGAACAGGAAGAATCATCAGAATCATTTCGGTTTCGATACCAACCAAATATAGAGCAATCACCATCACAAAACCATTTCATTCTTATTTATTTCGATACAAGTCCTGATCTTTATCCTGCGCATTCGGGATTTGAAAACCTTACTATTTTAAGGCGTTTAACAACATTATTAACTAGCACGAGTGTAACAACATACATTTACGATTTACACCACTACACGATATGATTTAGGGTTTTGCGCTATGCTATATTACCTATAGAAGTTTACAAGAATTCGTAGGCGCATCATACTTTATAATATCATAGTTTATAAGCGTTATTTGTATAACGTTATATAGTAAATCAGTATAAATTTCGCTCTCGGTACATACGGTACACGCTATTGCGTGAACTTAATGTGATTGTGAGGCCCCAACGAATATATCTAGTTAAATCGAGATGCTCTGTATAAATCGAGAATGAAATTTAAACTGATTTATTGTATAACAATGCATAAAATACGCCGCTTATACAGGATGTTCAGTTGCAGGTGTAAAAAAATTAAAATTTAAGAGGTGATTCTTCGAGAATCACACTATTAAAATGGGATGAAAATCAAGAATAAATAATTTGCGTTTTCAGCTTTGTTCTTTAGTTATTGACAATTACGAATTAGCTAAAATATCCCTATGGGCGAGCAAACCTCCTTACACGAACGAAAGTAGATGCACCCTATGCAGCGGGATGCACAGTGTTACATCGCGTGAGGTGGTCCGTGCGACTTCTTTCATTGTCTGACCGTCAAGGCCCAAGCACCATTATACAGACTCTCAATAAACCTAAGGCCCTACCATAAACTGAATCGTATTAGTTTGCAGGAACCTTTAATCCTGCAAATATTTTCGATTTATAGCTGGTACTTAAAACAGTCCTTAGGTTTATTGCACGTTCTTACAAATTACGGAGAAAGCGGGTAGTTACCTAGCGGAAAAGGTAGATATTTGTCTCACGGAAAAACCGGCTTTTCCCATGAACAAGCTCGCTCCCGAGTCACGTTAGTAGAGGAGGCTTCCTCCGCCAATCTTCATTTATTAACGTTGGCTATAACCAATCGGCATCGCGGATCGTTACACTCATTTTTCCAACGAAAAGTGTGAACAACGAATCCATGTCCTTAGTTCAAAAGACACACCCACACCGAGCTTTCTTCCGTAATCACACAAGAACGAACTTCACTTGTTCTCATCACGACAGAACAGTCACTTCATCCCTCTAGACTTGTGCTCTAGACTACAGAGCAGTCACTTCATATGTATACTTAGTCTACTCAATTGCTACTTCTGCTACATCAAGAAAGTCACCTCCGTCTTATGTTCGAAAGAACATTGTGTTCATCTATCGGAGTTTCATACGTCAAAGTATCGTCTGCGATATTTATATCATACGTAACGGTGTAACTATTTAGTGTATTAAGTTATTGGAAATATAAATATTATAACCCTGTTAATCGCACTGTTATATCACATCAATTACTCCTATTATCCCACAAGAAATAAGGGGATCGATCTGTTCGTGGCGTCGATCCTTATAATGGTAACGAGAATTTACGACTCCCGTTCACGCGATTCCTCGCGATCGCGGGGAGACGCGATCGCGAGGATAGATCGAAACTACTTAGTACGATATTCCAAGAATGCGATCGACTATTCATATAAGCAAGGTGAAAATCTAAACATTGTAACGTTCTCTTCTTCAATCATTTCGGACTTGTACCATATGTGTACTACTCGAATAAAATTATTCATTGACTATTATTGTCAACAATCAAGAATTATCTTTGTATATTTAATCGTGTTTTCTTCAAGAATATTAAATATTTAAAAGGACAATTCGCTGTGCTAACCTGTGACCTGACACAGTTGAAAAGCCGCGCTGGTTACGGTGCCTTCAACAATTGAAGACACTTACGGGTTTTCGCACTTCTCCCATTATTAGCAGAAATATCTGTTTTTCTTTTGGCAAGAATTGCGAAGCCACGTTGGTTGTCACGGAAAGTATTATTGTTACAAACAATCTTAGTTCATGTTAGAAACCCAAAGCAAGAAGTAGAAAAGAGCAGAATGTTGGTTTACGTTTGTTAACTGCCGAAATTAAAAAAGAAGAGAAAAATCAAAAAGAATTAGAATTAACTACAGAACAAAACAGAAATTAGTTCTCACCATCAAACTCACCTATACCTGAACGCGATCTAGGGCTGCATTGCCAATAGCTTACGATGACGACAATTATTCTCATTTATAAACCAAGTAGAGAGCTAAGATTAGAAATTTGTCAATAAAATATAACTAAATAAAATCGAATAAATCACCAACCAAGGAGATATTAAAAATATTTATTTATTTCAAGAAGACTTCAATCCTTCCCGTGCTAGTACTCCTGCACATACGGGTAAGCCGAAATGTGGAGTTTATTTACCAGTCGCGTTGATACGCTAGTTAATGCTACTCATACGGTTATGAATTAGAATATCAAGGATACAACAGTTTGGAAATTCAAAATAGTGCCGCGCTTTAGAAAGGTGCGACAAGTTTCTGAATCTATTCCATTCAGCTGTTCGCCTTGTTTCGAAAATAACGAACGAGAATCAAACTAATCGAAATAGTTTAACGACTATTTCTGGTGACAGCAACTACTGTTTTGGTTTAATTATAATTTGAAAAATCTAAGACTCGACATCGAGAGTAATACATAACGATTACGAACACTGAAGACAAGACCAAATCGTGACAACTGACACCGATGACAAGAGCATTCCTACGTGGTATCAGGTGTCAGAGTCATTTCAATTTTGCTGACCACGTTATTTCTTGTATTCTTGATTTGAATACCGCATTTTAAATGAATAAAATTATTCTTGCTTAATTTAATGTGTTTTAATACAATTTGTTTCAATCTGACTTGATTTTAATTTAACATGACTAAGAAAACATATCCAATTCTTTTTTTAAACTTGCGTAGTTGCAACGATGGTTTTATAAAAATGTTCATTAAAATTTAAACTTTTGTAAGTACTCAAAGCTGTTTTGTCCTTTATTTTTTTGAATTAGTGACATTATTTTCTTTATAAAGTATAATATTATTATAATATCTTTGTAAAGGATAATAAAGTATATACTTTATACATATGCAGAATGTACAAAATTATTTTACATGGCTGTAACAGGTAATTCTACACCTCTAGTCCGATAGAGATTTACAAAAAGAAATGTAGCCGCAAAAAATTAATCTTAATCTTGAAGTTTAGGGTCAAATTTTTTTATTGCATCATGAGCAGTTTATTCATCATGAGAAACAAAAGTCTCAAAGAAACCATGGATTGCAACTTAATCGTTATATTAAGCATAGTTATGCTTAATTATGAGCAAATCTATTGAAACAGAAATTCTATCTGAAATTCTATCAGTAACATACATTCATTGTAAATCTGCAAACAATTAGTGACAAAAGCATTAAATAATGTGCTACTGTTGTTATTAGGTATATCTTTGTTATCTTTTAGAAGACATAAAGAACTATTGAAGACATGGCTTGTAATTATTATTAAGTAAGTTAAGTAATTATTATTAAGTAATTATTATTATTGTAAGTATTATTTATTATCAGTAACAGCACAAATGTGCATTAATATATGAAATTTTGAGAAATTTCCTCTCCACAAAAATAGTGGTAGAATAAACGATAGGTATAAATTTGAATACAAAAATATGTATAGATATTAACAATAAGAATGCAACAAGACGATTTTTGGTAATTATGTAGAAGTTTGATCTGTTTGCCAATTTCAATGTCCTTGAAATATGTTGTCGCAGTTATTATTCTGAGTAACTTCTTCCTATACATATAAATGTACAATCGTTACTCGGTGTATATAGCTTTCAAAACATATACGCAAAAAATTATAAATTTAGGTTACGGTTCTAGAATTCACTTCATTCTAGAATAAACGGCTACATTTTTATATAGCCCAATCTGAACTTACACTTATTCTAAACTTACTCTCACTCTATAAATAACAAAATACATCAATGAATTATAAATTGGGCTAAATTGCTCTCTGGCCGTCATTCGATGGCTAGTAACGCTGGCGTGAAATAATTTTTGATGAATAGATTGATATATGAAATGTTGTATTTTATTCTGATATTCAGTTGATCAAAAATGTAACAAATATACCTATTATCATTGATAAATTTAATTGTTTACAGAACAAAAATGTATAAAATAAATAGTCGAATAATACATATATATACGTATATTTAGTATTAAATATAAATTGCTTTATAACTTGAAAAACTACAGCCGAGCAGCAATTACTTGTATAAGAAAAAGTTGTTCAGAATGATAACTTTGGCAATATATTTCAAGAGCATTGAGGAAGAAACCATACTTCTAAATAATTACCAGAATTCTAACTACAAGAAAGTGCAAAATGAAATGTATGCAATTTTGCTTTCTCTCAGATGAAGCCACTCAGTAAGAGCTGAGCGCAAAAAATATCAGAAATACTAAATATAGAACCCACTATCATTAATCTGTAAGATTTCCTATGTAGTAATCACAATCGCTACAAACTCTTGTGCTCATTTTGCACTCTTCCTGCAGTTGTATTTCTAGATTTAATAAGTAAATGGTAACCATTTCTACCAATAAAAGTATAATATAACAATTAAAAGTTCTGATAAGTCCCGAAAACATTACAATTTATTTTCGTATTATATAATACATTGCGTCAGTATTTTTTAAGGTGCAAAAGGTTGAATTAATTATTTCAATGAAACATATAATAATGTACATAACTATCGTCTACCCCGTCCTCGTCCTCGTCCACCTCGACCTCCTCTCGTACCACGTCCACCACGCCCCCGACCACGTACTGCTCCTAAAAGTAATATAAATATAGAAACAAAATATATATATATATAAAATAGAATGTCTATTGTCATTGATGATATAAAAATATGTTTACACATTTTGATTAATAAATGTATTTCGACATACTACACTGTTTTATCCCTATTGAATTTGAATGTTTGTAGCTAATTATCGTATCTTGAATTAATTATAAAAGCTACTTTAATATATACAAATATATATAAATAATATACAAATACAAAAAAAATTCAGTAGCGTGTGTAATATAGCATTTTAAAAAATTAAAATAATTGTTATATGAAATAAATCTGAAAAGTATAAAACTTTATTAAGGAACAATGTGTGAATACATATATGAGAGAGAGAGAGAGAGAGAGAGAGAAATCAATATATTATGAATGTAATAAGTAATATAATTGACTAGTTTTTAAAGTCTATCGACGTTATTTACAAATTTCATTTGAATAACATTTTTTGGAAAGAATGTTTGATTAGTTAATTATACATATAATCACATCAAATTCTTATCTTAATAAACAAACAAAGGTGTTTATGTTAGTCATGTTATTTGTTTCTTAATAAAATAAACAGTCAACAATACATTAACAATATCTGTTGAGACTTTTAGTAAGATGGGCCTTTCTGTTTAGAATTAGTAGTAAATTTAAAATAGCATACATGCCATTAATAAATTTTTATATTCTTTTACAAAAAGTATTTGCAATATTTATATTATTTGTAATATAAAAAGCATGTATATACTTTCTCATACTTGTAAATTAGTAATAGTAACTAATATTGTTATATTTACAAACCTCGTGCAGCCTCCTTCTTTTTTGCTTTTGCTTTTGGTGTGTCGTCTATGAGCAAAGTCTCAAGTGGTAATGAATCTGGTAATATATAATACCTTATATTATTGCCTCGTAAACTTAATGTATCTAATTGTACAGGATCCCTATTCTTTATTGTCATTTTTACAGTCTTTAAATGCGTATTCATTGCCACATCTACTCCTATAAGTGAACATTCAACAAATATTATTAAATTTTAATGGAAATATAAACATGAAGATTTTTTATAGGTTATGATGACATACCGGTAATAGTACCATGTACTTGAGTACCATTCTTCAATTCTATTGTTACAGTCTCATGACTGAGTTTCATTAAAAATCTGAAATAGTTAGAACAATTATATTATAAATACAATTTAGAAGATTCAAAAATATAAGATGTGATAAAACATAGCAATAATCTTTACAAATCCAATTAATTATTCACATATATAGTGTTAATCTTAATATTTCTACTTGATCTTAAACTTTTTGTTTGATAAATATTTTATTACTTCTTACCGAATTATTACAAATTAATATACGTACCTTACTAGTTTCATGATGATGTTTGATATTATGTTTATCTTACAATAAAAGATTACAACCTCAATTTCATACCGTATTTTCTTACCTACACCATACAGAATACTGTATTTCTTGTGTTCCAAAAACTCTTCATATCTGTTCAATCTACTCGAAGTTCCAACCACGTCCTAGCTGTGCCCCTAACTGTCTCCTGCTCATACTCATACCTATAACCATAGAGTATGTGCAAAAACTTATAAAAACCTATATCATAGTCATTTATATATTTCGTATAAAATTATTAGTAACAAAATAATTAAAAAATTGTGATACACAACAATAATAAATACAATTTATAAATATAATTTATGAAATAAAACTAAAATGCGCACAGAAATATTTCATTTGATGTTCTTAAATATTATTGTATATTTAAAAGCAATATATCTTTTTACATTATCCTTTTACATTAGTAATATCAATTGACAAACTCAAATAGAAGAGATCAGTTTTTAATAATTTAAAGAAATAATGAATTTCAAATTACAATGTTCAACGAATTTTAATCTTTTTCCAACTTTGCAACCTTCAAAAGGGATTCCTAGCGTAGGATTCCTGAAGATTTTTGCGAGCTGAATGCGAATCTGCAAGCCGTTTTTTTCAGTACCCACAGATTCCGAAATAGTTAATTTTGAAAAATATTACAAACTTTCAACTTGGAAGATGTTTTGTGCTTTCACAATAGCAGATATTAAGTTGCTGTTGGATGAAAAAGTCCTGTGGGTTCTTTCGAATAGAATATGAATTCTTATTATGTTATAAACATTTACATATGTTTACATAATGATCAAAATAAAAAGAACTCCTAAAACACAATACCTTTTGCTTACATTCTCTAACTTATTTTGAAAACTAGAGGCATGAGAGAAAATGTAATAAGAGCAGTTAAAAATAAATTAAGTTATTTCACATATATATATCAAACTTATTTATGAAGTATTTTACAAATATTATATATTTATAATATCATGCACATAATATTTATATTTAATGCTTAGTGTTAATTTGTATCTTTCTAATTAATTATTTAATATATAAGCATTTTCTTGCTTTAATTTACATGTAATTAGTTGATCAATAACAAAAGTAAATAACAATAATCCAAATTAGAATGGTGACCCATATTTTATATATATACTAAATTCATAATAAAACGTAAATGTATATGTAGTCATCAGTTATATTCTACTCACTAAAAACATAAGAACAGATCTACAGAACAGAACTACAGCATAAAACCAGGTACATTTGCAACATTATAGAATCACATAGCAAATACAATAAACTAAGATAAACAAATATTACTCTAAAATATAAGTCATCTAGACACAGTATTGTCGCTAATGATTTTGCAGTTGACGCGATGTAAGTCGTAGAAAAAGAATACATAGAATATAATACAAATAAATAGATATAATGCAGTTGTGTAGGACAAAAATGTATCTCTTTATTATACTGTGTTGTTGCATGATTATATTACCTATAAACACTACTGTTGTTTAAATATATGTATAGATATAATATTAAAATTTGTTATTCTTTTAAATTTATTTATATTTCTTCTAATGTTAAGTACATATCGGTAAATGAAAAAGTGAAGCAAAAGTTTAAGAAAAATTGTACATAATAATACAGTAATTTTAGATGTATTTTAAATTACAACACATGACCTGCTTGCTTTTGAATTGACTAAATTTAAGATAGTTTTCATTCTTCCATTTGATCCTATATCATATGTTTGTGGAAATGGTATTCCATCAGGTCTGTTATATATATGTTGTAAACATTGTTCCCATCTAACTGGTGACACGATTTGTTTTAATATGTATTTTTTTACATATCGTAAATTAGTGTATGGTACAGCTTTATAATTGGAATATACTATGCATCTAGGTTCATTTATTTCTATCGAATTTAATATTTTAGAAACTGGCTTTAAAGCAGGTTCCATCAATGGTGTGTGAAATGCTCCTGATACAGGTAATCTAGATGTGTTATTTAAACCAAATTGTGCTTTATGTTTTTCGATATATTCCAATGCTTCTATATTTCCTGCTATTATTTTTCTTTCTGTACATAGAAAAATAGCGGTTCTAAAAATAATTGATTATATAATTAACATCATATACGAATTATATAACATCTTTTTCTATTATTTATCAAATATTAAATATTAAGATATTACCTGCATGTTGGATTTTCAATACCCATATCCCTTATCCAATTTTCTGCTTCGATACAAGCTTTGGAAATTTGTGCTTTTGATGTACCAAATACAGATAACATTCCTTGAGGCACCATGTCTGACGCATATTGCATAGCTTTTCCTCTAGACCATGCTAATCGAATTCCATCTTCAAAAGTTATAATGCCAGAAAGAATTAAAGCAGTTATCTCTCCTACGCTATATCCTGCTGTAGCAACACAAGTTTCAAATACTTTAGGAGTCTCTGCTCGTATTTTTTCTAATGCAACCAACGATGATACTACTGTAGCAGCTTGATTATATTCAGTTCGATTTAATTCCTTTTGTGGGCCATTCAAACAAAGCTTTAGTAAATTGTAATTAATTATTTCATTGGTTATTTCAAAAAGTTCCTTAGCAGCAGGATAATCCATATACTTTTTAATCATCCCAACTTTAATAATACCTTGGCCAGGAAATAACAAAACAGAAGTATTTTCTGGATTAACACTTGGTTTTGTTTCCTCTTTATAATTGAGCGGAATATCCTTAGGATATGGGGTTGTCATCCAATTTTTATCCATGACACCACCAAATGTTGCAGCTTTTTCAAGCAGATGCAGTACTTCTCGCGTCTTATATGAACATTGTGAAGAGTCTTCGTGGAATTGATCTGTATTCGATGCTTCAGAATTACTACTTTCATCTTTCATGGAATCATTTGAAATTTGACTAACTCGAACTAACCGGGAACATTTTGGAACACAAGGAGGTATTTTCTTAAACAATATTTGTTGAAACATTCTAATCATTTCAAAAATTAATATCTATTAAATATTCACAAAATTGTATAAACTCCAAAAACAAAAACTTTTATTCAAAATTAATATTATCAGAATATATTACGATAATCTATGAAATTAGGAATACATGAAACGTAGTTATTTATTTTTAGTTGCTATTATCTTCTAGCTTAAAAACATTATATTATATCAATATAGAAGTTAAATAACCTATATGTCTTCTACTTTAAAAATATTATCTTATATCTAGAAAGTGTTTCCCAAGATTATTTCATTATATAAATATGATATTAATATAAAATTTTGATACATTATTTTTATTTATATATACACAGATTGCTATGTACACATGTGCATCCTAAACAGATCTTGAGATCCGTTAGCAAAAACCGTTTGAATACTGAATTGTGAAAAATCAACATGGAAAACAAAAAGTTCCCATTCTGTGTATACGTAACATGTTATGCTGCGACAGAGTAGAAAATGCTACTCATCTCCGTTTGTCTCGTAAGAACGAGAATCTTGTCTTCCATATTGATTTTCCACTTAATTTGCAGCAATTTTGCAGCAAGTATCAAGAGTCAATTTTCGAACGATTTTCCCTAGGCTTCGGTATATAAGTGTCGAGATTTGTCTTATATGTTCGTAGTCTAGTCTTATACTAGAGAGAAAATGAGGATCTCGCGTCCATTCTTCTAGTTGTTCCACGATATGCGATGTACTATGTGACCAAATATTAAAGGTATTCCACGCTAGCATATACAAGAACTTATAAAGTTAGGGATTTGCCCTGTTTGGCTCCATCACAGACAGGAATGTATACAGCATAAACCTTGTATCTCACGAATCTTCGTGTCCCATGTTCTGAAACATCGATCGTGTAAAAAATCAGTGTTTCTCTTGCCCTCAGCGATTTATAACGGTGAGTGTAGGAATTATATTCGATCCAACTAATAAAGTTAGTAAAGTCACAGACAAGTGTGATAAAGTCGATAAAAGTAAAATCTGTGGTAAAATTACCCCTCTAGTTGTACGTTACATGTGATTACGCGCTTACATTAGAAACGACATATGTATACGTATGTATTACATTGCGTTTTATAATATTTAATGATTTGACGACAACAGTTAAATTTTCATATGACATAAGTTCAATTGTACATCAACTAAAAATGTATTAATCAACTTATATTTTCTATTAGAAAATAACGAAAATATTATCAATTTCTGAGACTATTTTAGTACTTTATTTAAAAATGATCTCACTAAAACGACTTTTATCTATTTATATTATCATAATAATTATTTATGTAATATAATCTATAAAAAATTGATGGTTTTATGAAGATATAATGAAAAGAAAAGACGCAAGTATATATACACTGTGAGATACCCATAAATAAATAAAAAACCACTTCGATTATTATATAAATAATGATTATAATGAAAAATATTTCAGATAAAAGTTGAGTGGTTTCAAGGGGAACCTAACTTAACGTGATTAATTTTTGGTAAATATCTAGAAGTTTGTCCTCATCATGAATTTATGTTGTTTGGGGGCATGATTGCATGATTCTCAACAACTTTTTCCTATACATGCATGTAACCGCCCCGTTCAGCCTTAGATATTTCCGAGATATTCGTAAACACTGTGAAAATTATCGTTATTGGACATTACTTTGCCCATATATGTGTACCTGTGACATAGTCGCAAGTATATCCGATACGTTCGCCGCTTGGCAATCTGTTTACCGTATAGCCATCAGCCATAGATATCTTTATCTTTGTATCATACTTCACGAATTTAAATAAACAGCTATGGAAATCCCATTTACAACTGCAGATGTAATGACACTGTAAGAAATGCCTTCAAAAAATTTACTTCAGTATATAACATAAAGGATTTGACTCTCTGTATGTTTGCATTTCCGAATGAGAATCTTACTTATCCTCTATCTGTATTAAAATTACTAAAGAGTTAAGAAATGGAATCATAATGAAATTATATGAATTTCTGATGTATATCATGTATATAATTACGATCAGTTGATGTAATTTCTAATTGAACGAAAAGTAATTCATAACATGCAAGCGTTGCCGGTTGGATTGAAAAAGTTAACCCGAACTCAATACATTGATGATATTCATTTGTAACTGAGTTATAAAGATAGATTATTACAGACTTTCTTACAGTCTTGCATATGCACTTGTGCACGGGACTTTCATCCAAAGGATAAACGGAATACCTAAACTCGCCCAACATTTTCTTATACATACAGTGACTCATGAAAGTATTCGATCGCGCTTTAAAGAAGAATAACATTTTTAAAACAATTTGCATATTTTTGAAAAATTACAAGGTTTAATTTATTAGATAATATGTCAAGAAAATTTTGAAAGAATTGCAGTTGTTCGGAAGAAAATAATAAAAATCACTTTTTACAACCTTTTTATTTGGGCCTGTAATGAACATTCAAACAACACGTTTTGAAGAATCTGTCTATTATATACATATTTAAATGTTAAAAAATGATGAAAATCGCAGTTTTCTACGATTTTCTGTAAGAAAATGTGAAGTTCGAACGCTTGGCTGTGGAAAGAGAAAGTGTCAACATTTGAGGGTGCCACAAATTAAGTCCTGCCCCGTATAGTAAGTATGTGGGCCAGAGGACTCGACGTTTTGCAACTGCGACGTCTGGTTTTTTGAATATTCGTTGTATAATCGTTAACGTGGACGAATCGTCAACGTCGAAGTAAAACCACACGAGCTCGGCATTTCCGAATTTACAAAAATACTATAAATGCTATAGCAGGAGTGCTATAAATATGACTGGCTTGAATTCGTTTTTAATATTTTCTTACATTTCGGCCTATACCTATAATAAATCTACATGTTCGTTCATCTTTCGATGCCTGTTGGTTGTTTCTGCATCAACCGACCTCGATAAAATTTTCTGCATGTATATAGGTGACATAACTCTTCAAAATGACATAACTCTTCAACAGTGCGATTGTAAATCCTTCGAATCCTTAGAAGTAGTTTAAGGAAACGACAGCTATTTGTAATCAAGGACAAGCCAGTGACGCGGAACTTTTTGGCATTAGCATATTTTTTTTCATCCCTTGAATTTTGCGTGCTGTATTCCTTTATTCCCTGTGAACCGTTGGTCCGACACTCAAACGTCGCAAGCGGTCACTTCAGGGCCTGTCGCTAACCCGATGTGACCATTATGTAGGAGTTGGAGTTTCTCCTTCTTTGAAATATGCACTCTGCTTCTTCTTTCCATTGCCTTCATCTCGAGAAAATGGGAAATCAGGAAATTGGAGTATCTAAACCCAGCAATTTGTCTGACTTCAAACATCGTTCCTATCACCGGTCTGTAATAGAACTTCACCAAGTAAGCACGCGTTTCTTGTATCAAGTATACGCTTTTCCCTAGCTTTTTCCGGACTGTCCTTAAACTTTAAAGGAACTCGATTGCATTAAGTTGCACTTCGAGACAGTCGAATAAAAGTTCGCGTGAAATATCTCTGGCACTGCAACGTGTGTTGTTTAAATAGTCCGAACGGATTTCAACACTGCAGTATTACGAGGATTAAATTAATTTCTATTTTTTTAATTTTTAAAGATTACCGGACGAAATAGAAAAATGGTCTCGATGTTTGTAAGAATCTGGATAATTTCATTGTAATCCGCAAATAACTCTGGCAAAGGCAATTTTAAATAAAAAAAATTACATTGTGATTGCACTTTAGATAAGTATAACTCAAGAGATTAGTTATTAAAGAAAAAGATATTAAGTTACATGTGGAAATAGACTTGAGACATGAAACGAAGCGATCGTCTTCTCCTTATTGTGATGGCAAATTTAAAATCCTTCGACGGCTACCAAACCGCTCTCCGTTCTTGCCTATTTGTACTTCTAGCAACAGCTCATAGATGGCGAACGGCATTTAACTGCCGTAGTAAGCGTACATGTTACAACGTTGCCATTCACAGAGCGCGGGTTCCAAATTAAGTAGATAACCCTGTATATCATTTCTTGCGTAATCGCGTAACTACGTGTAACGTACAACCCGAAGGGTATTTTTACCACAGACTTTTACTCCTATTAACTTTACCACATCTGTATGTGTACTACATCGTTTGTGACTTTACCAACCTTATTAGTTGGATTGAGTATAATCCCTGGACTCACCGCTATAAATCGCAGAGGGCGTAAGAGATACTCTATTTTCCTTCACGATCGATATTTCAGATGTAAGATCTATTCTGTGTATTGGTTTGTGGTATTACAAACAATAGTTGTGAAAAGTATCTGAAAATTATCATCTGTCGATAACACTAATTACAATATGTATAAGCATTACGTCTTCAGATGAGATATACAGATGTCGCTGTTGGTCTCTGAAAGAGTTCAAATATATCTCTATAATATGTTTGGTAACATATACCCATATCTAAATCGCATAATTCACTGAGGAATAGAAAAGAACCAAAGAAATAAAGGAAAAGCAATAAGAATCTATCACTGTTACGTAGAAAATATTAACGAAAGTGATGAGTAATATAGTCGAGTCAAGACCGCCGTGGTAGCAGGGATTCGGCAGAGGAAATTGTCGCGAGTCGCCCAGGTGCATTGAACTTGCCCGGTTAAGCATAGAATAAGGCGATTTCCATGGGACGCGCGCGCGCGCCAATCTTGGTGGTGGTCCGGAAAATTGCGCGAATCATGAACGAGTTAATCGTGTTAGCCGTAATTTCAACGCGCTTATCGTCCGTCGGTTAGGTATTGCTTGTGTAAATACAAGTTTAATCGAGATCATCGTCGAGTAATCAATTTAATCGAGATGTGCCTCGATCACGGAGATGGAAAAATCAATAATACGCAAAGACGGACGCGCGAGCGCACATCGAAGGTATACACGCAGTCGTGTAACGCGACCGCTTTTAAATAATCGGAAACACTGATAAGCATGTTTTCGAAGACAATTTCAGCTAATCGCATGCGTTCAATGAATATCATTTAATTTATCGAGCTCACAATTATTCATTGTATCGTATTATAAGTAACACGGTAAATATTGATACTACAGCAGGTTGCAGTTGCAAGGATAGCTGCAAAATAGAGGATACTAATTTTCAATTGATTGCTGGAGCGATTGAGATAATTTCTGTATTTAAATAGCATGGTCTTGTTAGACGAATAAATTTGTGATACCCTAATAATCGATTAAAATAATTTTCATTGACTCATTAATTTTAGAATATTAACAAACAGATATAATCTTCGGGTGTCAATATTTATGAAAGATGTGCTTCAAGGTGCTGCTATGTAAATATAAATACAGGCTGTATGAATTTGTCGTTGTAAATGTTAAAGGCTGAGATAAAAAATTATAGTTATTGCCATAATAACTTAACGTTAATTGCAAGTACATAAAATTGTTATACTTATTGCACAGCTGAATTACAACTTTTCGGAAACGATGATGAACCGTGGAGTACAATCAAATTCTATTTAGAAAAAAGGGATAAAGATCTCCGTACGGTTATGACCGAAAAATTTCTTATAATTATCGTAGTGATCCTCCGCAACTATAGAAAGCGCATAGTATGCGATGCACAATAATAACTCATCTATCGATTGATCTGTACTCGTGAGAAACCGCATGG